GGAAAGCCTTTGACACAGTACCGCATAAGAGGCTGGTACATAAGCTGGAGAGACAGGCAGGTGTAGCTGGTAAGGTGCTCCAGTGGATAAGGGAGTATCTAAGCAATAGGAAGCAGAGAGTTACGGTGAGGGGTGAGACCTCCGATTGGCGTGAAGTCACCAGTGGAGTCCCACAGGGCTCTGTACTCGGTCCTATCTTGTTTCAGATATATGTAAATGATCTCCCGGAGGGTATCGATTCATTTCTCTCAATGTTTGCGGACGATGCTAAAATTATGAGAAGGATTAAAACAGAAGAGGACTGTTTGAGGCTTCAAGAAGACCTAGACAAGCTGAAGGAATGGTCGAACAAATGGTTGTTAGAGTTTAACCCAACCAAATGTAATGTAATGAAGATAGGTGTAGGGAGCAGGAGGCCAGATACAAGGTATCATCTGGGAGAGGAAATTCTTCAGGAGTCAGAGAAGGAAAAAGACTTGGGGGTTGATATCACGCCAGACCTGTCTCCTGCAGCACATATCAAGCGGATAACATCAGCGGCATATGCCAGGCTGGCCAACATACGAACGGCATTCAGAAACTTGTGTAAAGAATCATTCAGAACTTTGTATACCACATATGTCAGGCCAATCCTGGAGTATGCAGCCCCAGCATGGAGTCCATATCTAGTCAAGGATAAGACTAAACTGGAAAAGGTTCAAAGGTTTGCCACCAGACTAGTACCCGAGCTGAGAGGTATGAGCTACGAGGAGAGACTACGGGAATTAAACCTCACTTCGCTGGAAGACAGAAGAGTTAGGGGGGACATGATCACCACATTCAAGATTCTGAAGGGGATTGATAGGGTAGATAAAGACAGTCTATTTAACACAAGGGGCACACGTACTAGGGGACACAGGTGGAAACTGAGTGCCCAAATGAGCCACAGAGATATTAGAAAGAACTGTTTTAGTGTCAGAGTGGTTGACAAATGGAATGCATTAGGAAGTGATGTGGTGGAGGCTGACTCCATACACAGTTTCAAGTGTAGATATGACAGAGCCCGATAGGCTCAGGAATCTGTACACCTGTTGATTGACGGTTGAGAGGCGGGACCAAAGAGCCAGAGCTCAACCCCCGCAAACACAACTAGGTGAGTACAACTAGGTGAGTACACACACACATACCCACACCCACACACACACACCCACACCCACACCCACACACCCACACACACACACACAACCACACACACACATACACACACACACACACACCCACACACACACACACACACACACACACGCAAGCCCATAACACAAACCCTCGGCTTTAATTAACATAAACCCTCACACTCTGTACCATAACACACACAAACTTAATCAGTTAATCTCAATTTGTCCACAGGATGCTTATTACAAGCTGACGACGCAGAAGCTGTCAAATGCTTTCCTTTTAAGCTGGCGATACAGAAGCTGTCAGACGCTTTCGTTTTAAGCTGACGACGCAGAAGCTGTCACTTGCTCTCGTAAAGTATTGGCGTTATCCCGGGCTCGTTTAGGACGCTCTCTTTATTATGTTATAAAGATCTCTTCTCCTGTCCTATTTATGGCTCGTAAAAATCTATATCCAGTGAGCACTACCAAGAGATGAGAGGAGGGGAGTGGGGCGCCCATGGGAGGGATAGGGGAGGGGAGAGATGGGAGAGGGAGGGTGAGAGTTATATGGGAGGGCTCGGGGGAAGAGGGATGGGAGAGGGAGGGTGGAGTGTCCATGGGAACGCTGGAGAGAGAGAGAAAAAGAGAGAGAGAGAGAGAGAGAGAGAGAGAGAGAGAGAGAGAGAGAGAGAGAGAGAGAGAGAGAGAGAGAGAGAGAGAGAGAGAGAGAGAGAGTAGAGAGATTTAAGAGTTAGAACTGTGAAGGGTAGGGAAAAAATAGGTTGGAAGAGGAAATGGAACGACAGTGCAGAAGAAAGAGAAGCGAGAGGGTAGGTAGGTAGAATAGGAAAAAAATAAAGGATAGGTGGAAAAAGATATGGTAAGGAATGAAAGAAGTGTATGGAGTAATATGGAAAATCACAGCAGAGAAAGGAAAGAAAGAGGTATAGGGGAAGGGATGGTAGGCATGAAAGTGGTACTTGGTTGTGGGAGACGGAGGTGAGTTAACGTGGGAGGAGAGTGATAAATATGGTGGGTGGGAAGAGGTTAGGTGGGAGAAGCCTTTGGAAGTAGGTGGGAGAAGCCTTTGGAAGTAGGTGGGAGAAGCCTTTGGAAGTAGGTGGGAGAAGCCTTTGGAAGTAGGTGGGAGAAGCCTTTGGAAGTAGGTGGGAGAAGCCTTTGGAAGTAGGTGGGAGAATACAAGTGACGGAAAAAAATCCTTCAATAATAATTATATTTTAAATCCACCTTCCACCTCTTCACAGGAAGGTTGCTCAAGGCGAGAAAGCAGCAACTGATTCCTCTGTGAATCACAACTCCGAGACGCTGGAGTCTTAACCCCGCTTGTTCTCCTGACTCTGACTTCCTTGGTCAGTTTTATCACCCAGCTTCTTCAGGAATTTAGTAATGAATATGAGAGTAAGAGTTATATCAATGATTCGAGCAGCAATCATCGCGATATTTGTTGCAGTCTTCACTTGACAAGGAAATTTTGAAGTGAACTCTACAGAAGTTAATTTTAAAATGTTATTAGACCTAACGTTAAATAACATTTCGTTATATCTCTCAACATCTTCGTAGACCGAGGGAAAGTTGGCATAAGAGTACATATGTTACATAAGAGGACGTGACAGGTGACTGTCTCCCAGTCGTATGTGGAGTGGGACGGTTGGTGCAGTGCGAATTGACAGTTTTCTTGTGTCCTTGTGAACGGTAGTGCGTTCTTATGTCCAAAGCATCTGTTGATATCCAGACAGAAGTGTGTGTTATCCGCCTTTGTTATACCATTTCTTCTATTGATATCCTTCTTCTTATCTTGAGATCTTGATATGATTTCGGGGCTTTTTAGTGTCCCCGCGGCCCGGTCCTCGACCAGGCCTCCACCCCCAGGAAGCAGCCCGTGACAGCCGACTAACACCCAGGTACCTATTTTACTACTAGGTAACAGGGGCATAGGGTGAAAGAAACTCTGCCCATTGTTTCTCGCCGGCGCCCGGAATCGAACCCAGGACCACAGGATCACAAGTCCAGCGTGCTGTTCGCTCGGCCGACCTGCTCCTTCAACAATGTCACCCCCCTAATGCTTCGTCTTTCTACAGCATTTAAGTTAAGTTTTTTTAATCTCTCCTCGCGAGGAAGTTAACTAATTCTAGGGATTAACTTTGTCATCTTTTCAACGTGCTAGAGGTGAATTGTTATCCTTTCATTAGTAAGGAAACCCAAAGTGAGCTGCATAATCTAGAAGGGGACCAACTAGAGCAATTAAAGACAGTGTAGAATAATAATGTTGTCTTGTTACCAAGTCTTCTAGAAGTTGATTCCAGAATCCTAATAGACATATTCAGTGTATTTATGCAACTGGCCTGGTGACCAGTGGTGGTGGTTGGCCTGGTGACCAATGGTGGTGGCTGACCTGATGACCAGTGGTGGTGGCTGGTGTGGTGACCAGTTGTGGTGGTTGGCCTGGTGACCAGTGGTGGTGGCTGACCTGATGACCAATTGTGGTGGCTGGTGTGGTGACCAGTGGTGGTGGCTGGCCTGGTGACCAGTGGTGGTGGCTGGCCTGGTGACCAGTGGTGGTGGCTGGCCTGGTGATCAGTGGTGGTGGCTGGCCTGGTTACCAGTAGTGGTGGCTGGCCTGGTGACCAGTTGTAGTTGCTGGCCTGGTGACCAGTGGTGGTGGTTGGCCTGGTGATCAGTGGTGGTAGCTGTCCTGGTTACCAGTGGTGGTGGCTGACCTGATGACCAGTTGTGGTGGCTGGCCTGGTGACCAGTTGTAGTGGTTGGCATGGTGACCAGTGATGGTGGCTGGCCTGGTGACCAGTGGTAACTAGGACAATTAATTACAATTACAACCTGTTTGCTTAAATATATTAAACAAAAATATGAAACAGCTGCTTGGGCCTATAGTATATATATTAGGTTACTATTATCAACTACTAAAATCCAGTGACACGTGAATCACCAGTGACACGTGAATCACCAGTGACACACGTGAATCACCAGTGACACGTGAATCACCAGTGACACACGTGAATCACCAGTGACACGTGAATCACCAGTGACACGTGAATCACCAGTGACACGTGAATCACCAGTGACACACGTGAATCACCAGTGACACACGTGAATCACCAGTGACACGTGAATCACCAGTGACACGTGAATCACCAGTGACACACGTGAATCACCAGTGACACACGTGAATCACCAGTGACATACGTGAATCACCAGTGACATACGTGAATCGCCAGTGACACGTGAATCACCAGTGACACGTGAATCACCAGTGACACACGTGAATCACCAGGGACACACGTGAATCACCAGGGACACGTGAATCACCAGTGACACATGTGAATCACCAATGACACACGTGAATCACTAGTGACACGTGAATCACCAATGACACACGTGAATCACCAGTGACACGTGAATCACCAGTGACACACGTGAATCACCAGTGACACACGTGAATCACCATGGACACACGTGAATCACCAGTGACACACGTGAATCACCAGTGACAAACGTGAATCACCAGTGACACACGTGAATCACCAGGGACACGTGAATCACCAGTGACACACGTGAATCACCAGGGACACACGTGAATCACCAGTGACACACGTGAATCACCAGGGACACGTGAATCACCAGTGACACACGTGAACCTCCAGTGACACACGTGAATCACCAGTGACACACGTGAATCTCCAGTGACACACGTGAATCACCAATGACACGCGTGAATCACCAGGGACACATGAATCGCCAGTGACACATGAATCACCAGTGACATGAATCTCCAGTGACACATGAATCACGTCACAAATCCCCATCGTGACGTCACAAATCCCCAGCATGACGTCACAAATCCCCAGCAAGTCGTCACAAATCCCCAGCATGACGTCACAAATAACCAGCATGACGTCACAAATCCCCAGCATGACGTCACAAATAACCAGCAAGTCGTCACAAATCCTCAGCATAACGTCACAAATCCCCAGCATGACGTCACAAATCCCCAGCATGACGTCACAAATCCCCAGCATGACGTCACTAAACCCCAGCATAACGTCACAAATCCCCAGCATGTCGTCACAAATCCCCAGCATGACGTCACTAAACCCCAGCATGACGTCACTAAACCCCAGCATGACGTCACAAATCCCCAGCATGACGTCACAAATCCCCATCGTGACGTCACAAATCCCCAGCAAGTCGTCACAAATCCCCAGCATGACGTCACAAATCCCCAGCATGACGTCACTAAACCCCAGCATGACGTCACAAATCCCCAGCATGTCGTCACAAATCCTCAGCATAACGTCACAAATCCCCAGCATGACGTCACAAATCCCCAGCAAGTCGTCACAAATCCTCAGCATAACGTCACAAATCCCCAGCATGACGTCACAAATCCCCAGCATAACGTCACAAATCCCCAGCATGACGTCACAAATCCCCAGCATGACGTCACAAATCCCCAGCATGACGTCACTAAACCCCAGCATGACGTCACAAATCCTCAGCATGTCGTCACAAATCCCCAGCATGACGTCACTAAACCCCAGCATGACGTCATAAATCCCCTAGCATGACGTAACAAATCCCCAGCATGTCGTCACAAATCCCCAGCATGACGTCACTAAACCCCAGCATGACGTCACAAATACCCAGCATGACGTCACTAAACCCCAGCATGACGTCACAAATCCCCAGCATGACGTCACAAATCCCCAGCATGACGTCACAAATCCCCAGCATGACGTCATAAATCCCCAGCATGACGCCACAAATCCCCAAAATGACGTCATAAATCCCCAGCATGACGTCACCAGCTCACACAGCGCGTGTCTCTGTCTTTCACAGCTTGTTCCAATATTTTCTTTATTTTGCTGTTTAATTAAATATCTTTCTAATGACTGCTTATAAACGTCCATATCCTTTTCTACTTGTATTTAAAATTTAATTATACTTTTTCTAGCACCACAAGTACGTTGAAGAATTTAATTAGGATATTGAGAGGGGGGAGGGGGGGGGGGGAGAGAGGGGATTGTTTAACCTTTTTTAAAAGAGTTAAACTTCCACTTTTGATCTCCGTCGCTCCGCGCATGCGCTTTATAGAGCCTTGACTCTCACGGGCATCATGGCGCCATATTTAAAAAGCCTGGGCATAGGGTCCTGGGCATAGGGTCCTAGGCATAGTGTCCTAGGCATAGGGTCCTGGGCATAGGGTCCTGGGCATAGCGTCCTTGGCATAGCGTCCTAGGCATTGTTAATGTGAATGTTTGTGCATTGTATACAGTAAATAAATTACTTACATAAGTAATGGTGTCTGGCCTGGTGACCAGTGGTGGCTGGCCTGGTGACCGGTGGTGGTGGCTGGCCTGGTGACCAGTGGTGGTGGCTGGCCTGGTGACCAGTGGTGGTGGCTGGCCTGGTGACCAGTGGTGGTGGCTGGCCTGGTGACCAGTGGTGGTGGCTGGCCTGGTGACCAGTGGTGGTGGCTGGCCTGGTGACCAGTGGTGGTGGCTGGCCTGGTGACCAGTGGTGGTGGCTAGCCTGGTGACCAGTGGTGGTGGCTGGCCTGGTGACCAGTAGTGATGGCTGGCCTGGTGACCAGTGGTGGTGGCTGGCCTGGTGACCAGTGGTGGTGGCTGGCCTGGTGACTAGTGGTGGCAAAACAATTTGGCAAAATTTCTACCCTGCCCCCCCCCTCCTCCCCTTTTCCCCTACTGTCTTTCCCCTAACTTCCCTGGGGATGTGAGGTGTCTGGCCCCTCCCCTGCCCCTCGGCCCCTGGCTCCCCCCCAGCCCCTGGCTCCCCCCCCTGCCCCTGGCTCCCCCCCCCCCTGCCCCTCGGCCCCTGGCTCCCCCCCCCCCCCCTCAACACCGGCCCCTAAGCATGGCCTCGGAAATGCTTTTCCCTGCACGTAAAACTAATTCAATTTGTTATTTGCATATCTGAATGCTTCCAGACAACTTGTCGATTTATTTATTTAATGATTAAATATCCGTTGTTTGGTTCTCTGTCTGTGTGTGTGTTTCTCTCTCTCTCTCTCTCTCTCTCTCTCTCTCTCTCTCTCTCTCTCTCTCTCTCTCTCTCTCTCTCTCTCTCTCTCTCTCTCTCTCTCTCTCTCTCTCTCTCTCCCCACCCCCCCAGAGTACCAGCAGACTACAGGCAGCGTTGGGTTATGAACGCGTTTCTAAGCTTGCAGACATACGGCTTTTTTGGAGATTGGGAAGTTTCCTCTTTTATGGAACATGAGAGACGAGTCTCGAATTTAGCGTGTTGCAAAGGTTTTTGCAACACCGAATGTGGAAGCTCTGGTAAACAGCTCCACTCCCGTGTCTGTATATATATTTGTTTGTATTGGAGAGTACGTCTAGATGTATATATATGTCTGAATGTATGACTTTTGTTTTTTTTATTGATGTTTGTGATGTAAAGCTTCAATGCACATTTTAATTTCACTCAACCGCTTGCAATTCACATTGCAAGCTCCTTTTGTAAGCTGGTTGTTGAAATAATTTTTTGGAAAGAGTGAACGATTCTTAATAACGGTAATGTATATTATCGTGAAGGTCAGCAAGAGGAATGTTGTTGTTGTTGTTTTAGATTCAGCTACTTAGAACAAAAGTTCCAAAGTAGCACGGGCTATGGTGAGCCCGTAGTGGACTTACCTGGCACAGAAGCGGGGCTGTAACTGATCAGTTACAGCAAGAGGAAGGGGGACCCCCTGACCTCTGCTCCCACTGATGGAGTGACTGCACATCCCACTTATTAATCCTCCTCTTATAGGAATGTGTTGTCAGCGACTCACGTGACGGAGGAGAAACGCGTCTAACACAGGAAACACGTGACCACTACCAGTACCGAGCCAAAGACTCAACCTACCATCGTCAAACCACACACCAGAAGATGAGGAGACCACGACGTTTCGGTCCGTCCTCGTCCATTATCACAATCGACTCAATCATGGTCCATTACGGACCGAAACGTGGTCAGTTCTTTATCGTCTATCTCTTCATCCACGTTATTGTGACTCATTGTCTGCACGCAACTTACCATTTATGAAGAACCATCATCATGAAGAACTTACCATCTTCATGAAGAACTCTCACGGTTGTTCATGAAGAACTCTCACGGTTGTTCATGAAGAACTATCACAGTTGTTCATGAAGAACTATCACGGTTGTTCATGAAGAACTATCACGGTTGTTCATGAAGAACTCTCACAGTTGTTCATTAAGAACTCTCACAGTTGTTCATTAAGAACTCTCACAGTTGTTCATTAAGAACTCTCACAGTTGTTCATGTTGAACTCTCACGGTTGTTCATGAAGAACTCTCACGGTTGTTCATGAACTCTCACGGTTGTTCATGAAGAACTCTCACAACACTAGCCAGAGTTCCTCGAAAGAGACTACTGAAGTCTACGCCATTAAACCAGCCCATCGTCATGTTTTAGTAGTATAGTAAGCATGAGGACTATAGTATATATACCAACGTACAACGAAATTAAAACGTAGAAATCTGAACTACTGAGTTGGAAAATCCGGAAAACAAATTTTTAACTTGTGTTGATTTGACAAACTAACCTAACCTAACCTTCCTAGGCCTAATAAACAATATCTGAGACCTAATATAGTACATATGTGTGCTATACTAGGCCTAGGAATATATAAGTTTGTGATTAGCTTCATATTTTACATAAAAAAGTTCCTTACGAGTCAGTTTACTACTGTATAAAAGCTAAGTAAGTACGAATTGAGACTACTGACGATCATCACAACAGGTACTGTGTAAAGGGACTGCCCGAAACGCTTTGCGTAATAGTGGCTTTAGGCATTGTATGTACTAGCTCTATCTATAAAGCCAACAAACTTTGTAAAATCTCTTTATGTATGTACCTTACCTAAATAAAATTATTATTATTATTATTATTATTATTATTAAGAGGAGGACGGGATGGTTGACACTCGGGAGGTGTGAGCTACAACCTTCACAGTGTACCAGCAGGACCAACACATCTCTCTCATGGTGGCGGACAATACAAGGACAATAAATCTCCCGTTGAGATCACATCATTTCTTAACACAAGTATATTATTGACAGAGAGAGAGAGAGAGAGAGAGAGAGAGAGAGAGAGAGAGAGAGAGAGAGAGAGAGAGAGAGAGAGAGAGAGAGAGAGAGAGAGAGAGAGAGAGAGAGAGAAAGAGAGAGAGAGAGAAAGAGAGGCAGAGACCCACACAGAGAGACATAGAGAGAGAAAGAGAAAGAGAGACTGACAGATACACAGAGCACTTCAGAGAGAGCGTCTTGACCAATAACCACAAATCATATCATCACTCACATCCAATCACCAACAGCCAGCTTGGACCCGTCCCACACCCATCATGGACGGGAGAGAGACAACCCCCCTCTGCTCACACCTCACCTCACACTCCCACTGATCAATGAGAATACAAGACAACATCACCTGGTATTCTCGACTGGGGATATATTTATATATCGCTTTGTTAAGAGGTATTTCATTTATATTTGCCTCTGTGGATGCTAAGTTGTACCTCAGCGAAACGTATCAGGCCGCTTAGATGGAATAACGTACGTAGGTGTAAGCTGTCTCTTGATGATGTGGTGAGAGTGTTGGCATCTCTCTCGACTACTTGTGCTCTGAGGGTCAGGATATCTCTAATAATAGGCTGGTTGGTTGTGGAAATGATGTGAACATTGTTATATATCTTTCTTGTTTTATAGTGCACATTTTTTGGCAAGATGTTTGCTCATCTTCCCTATATAATGAGAGCGTCTGGGCAGACTGTACCATAGTGGACGTATTAAGTCCAAAGTTACATTCTTCTTCTTCAATACCCTTTCATGTAGTTATCTCTTACGTACAGACTGAAGTCAGTAGACAACTGAATGATAATTGGGAGTGCCTCAAAGCGGTGCAGTTTCATCCCGGCCTTATGTCGAATAACACATTAATATTATCCTGGAATTGGTTCTGGTCTTAATAACTTCCTCACTCTGCATACTCGCTCTCAAAAATACAATGCAGCGACGATTTGTTACGTTAATGATATTCTCCGCAGTTATTCTCGGAGGTAAAAATGAGTGAGCATGACAGAGGTTGTCAGGCGGGCAACACACACGCTGGCTGGCTGGCCCCGTGCTGTGCAACATTGGCTCAACACAACGGGAAAAGTTACAGTTTGTGCCTCACATTACGTATTTGACGAATGAGTCTCATCTGAGGGTAATGCAACTACAGCCGACGCCATTGCATCAGTAATTTGAACAGCTGTCCTGGATAGAATTCCAATGGGCTTTTTTGGTCCAGGTAATGAAATCCCCGAGAGTTTGGGAGTAAAGATGAGAGCCGCGATGTTATTCACGTTATTCATTAGGCCGGGTCCTGGTCTTAGGCCTACCGCAGCAACACCTGCTTCATCGCCGGCTCAACCCATCAATCCATTCCCCCATTACAGGAGCCAAACCCACTACCAACACCCACAGGATGGTGAATCTTGTTGCAAACTCGTCCCTGATTAACCGCACTGAAGCTCGGCTTAATAACAT